ACACTGGAATAAAACGTTGCATTCTTCTATCGATTATATCAAACGAGTGTACATAAATTTCATAGATCCAAGGATCTCGCCGAGATACTGGATGAAATTATTCTCATGTAACTGTAAAAAAACGGACGTTGGAATGAAAATTTCTGAAGTGAAGTAGGAGTATCACAATTATCTTGGTGAGGTGGAATTTATCGTTGTGGAAAAACGGCGCGAATCGCGTTAAGGAAGGAAAGGAAGGAAGGAACGATCGTGGAACGTATCGACGATGCGAGTCGACGGCCGTCACGCAACGATGCATCCTGGACAGGGGTGAAGCCGTGGGAGGGAGGAGACGGTGGTATGGGGTGTGCCAATACCACGTGCAGCGTTATCATTCGGAAGCATGCATGGCAGGTGTAGGAAATGACGTCACGCAATACCTCGGAGTATCCCTCGTTTGAAACACGACCTTACCGTCTATTTTCGACGGACGACGCCATGCATAAAAAGCTTCCTCCGAGCGGGACACAATGGGCGTCCTTGCCATTCGGATTAACAATCCTGGATGTTAATTGGCGACGATCTTTTGTTTCCAATTCGAATATAGGAAATTTCCTTTTTTTTAATGGTTCATAATGTTCATATATTGTTGAACCGAAAAGATAGGTATTTCTTAAAAATTATCACTATGGTATACAATATTCGTGTAATTTATAATCGAGGATTTATTATATTACATTATAAGAAGCAACGGTGTTAGGGATAGTTCTTTATAGGAATGTTCAGTCGAAATTAGGTCGATTCTTAAAATTGCATCGGTATTGATTAATAAATGGTAAGAGGAGAGGCAATTCCTGATTTAAACTCTGGTTTTTTCTATACGTCCTTGAATAAAGCGCAGAGAACTTGGTTTCCAAAGATCTACGGAGTAACAGTGTGTTCGTGTTTCAACGAGTGCCCGATAAATATCCATCACTGTTCTTCGTAAGAATAAATAAAAAAGAAAGAAAGAAAGAAAGAAAGAAAGAAAGAAAGAAAGAAAGAAAGAAAGGTAACTGTAAACTTCAATCAGCGTACTATCGCCCTAATTGTTACGTTGCCATTTTCGGATCGTATGAAAACAACGAACCTTCAGTCTTAAAAGTCAAGAGCGTGGCCGACACACTCTGTTGGCAACAAGAACACTACATGGCATATATTCGTAAGTATTCCCAAAGTGTCGAACCGTTCGTGGCGCGAAAAACATCTTCGCGCGTGCATTCGAATCTATCCTCATCTATCAACCCCTTATCGCTTATCATTTAAAAAAAGAATAAACTAATTTGAAAATTTCTATTCTAAACAGAAGATAACATTGCTTTCACAACCAAAAAATTTAATTCTTTCGAACAACTTGATTTTTGAAGAAAACTTAAAGTGATATCGTATCATATAAATCTGTTGAATTTATACATTGAACGGAGGAAATTTCGTAAGAATTTCGAGAAATCTGATGCACGAAACTTAAACTTATTACCAAGTCATAGCTGCTTCAGAGAAAAGGGAATAGATTTAAATTTGAATATACGTGGTTAGCTACGCTCCCTTTGATGCAATTATCACGCGACGCGGTGTTCGCAAGAGGGAGAAGAAAAATGGTGGTTACGTATGATGCGTAATTTCGAAGAAAAAAGAAAGAAAGGTTGGTCATCTCGGTCACGACTCCTTCTGCTAATCTAGATGCTCTTCGGGACTGAATTAATGGTGTTTCGTAATCTGGCTTAACTATCTGGTTTCCGGGCATCGGCCTTGCAGACCACTGACCACGGCCGGATGCTTCTGTCTACGAATGGCGAACGAGTTACCACCGGGGAGAAGTCGCTGAACGGGCGTTTAATGAAGTTGGCGTGGTTCAACAACCGTCCACCAACTTCATCCCGGCCCGCCACCGTAATTTGCATTCGGTGCTCTTGATCGATCGCGTGATAATCGCCAGCTAATATTGTTCTCGGCATAAGTTTTCCATTTATCTCGTCGCGCACAAGTTCTCTCGTTCCAATGTTATTTCGCGCAATTTAATGTTTTACCTTTTTCCCTCTAATAAATTTCACTGTTACAAGCTTTTTGATTTTCATCCACAATTGAATATTTATCGATGATAATTTTTCTAACTGTTACTTATATAATTATTTATAATTATGTAGATAAAATCTAGAGATTTAATTGTACGTGTATAAGTGAAGAAAAATTGTTTAAATTCAAGGAGCGAAGGAACAGAAATATTATGCCGAGAAAAATTTTTAATAAATGAAAATAATGTTGATCTGTCTGGAAGGAAATTTATAATTTTTGCAGAAGAAGGAAATGATATATATATATTTATAAAACCAGTGATTCCAACGTAAAATATTTTTAATTAAAAATATAACTTTTATTTTAACGTTTAATTAAGGAAAATGGCTCTCTTGCTAACCTCAAATCCGGAAAATTTATTCAAACGAAATACTTTATATCATATATTTTAAATTTAAAAAGAAAAATATCTTTATTTCATTTAGAATTACAAAATCGTGATAATAAGACACATCGCGGTGTGTTATTTCTAACGATTTCAATGATAAAGTGTCATTATTGTAATTATTACGTTCAGCAATTAATTCTTATATTAATTAGAGTATCACAGATCTTCGGTGTTCCGATTAACCATTTATCTGAAATAACATTACGTAGAATGTAATCTACACATGATAATTTAATTATTTTAACGCTTTAAGATTAATTTAAATTTTCTAGATCCTGATCTATCCATACTTGAAATATTTGATCCACATTTTTCGAATAAAAGCAAAATTGTATTGAAAGTTATCGTTGGACGTGCAAGTAAGTAGATGCAAGGTCAACGAACGAATTGTTATGTAATTAATGGTTGCACGCAATAACAATTTTATGCCTTTCCATTTTATTCGGATTTATCCATCCGCAAAAAGAGTTGTATATTTCTTAAGTTATTAAATAAAATATTCAATCGTGCTTTAACGATAGCAATTATACGAATAAATTAAATTAAATTAAATTAAATTAAATTAAATAAAATTAAATTTTTCTAAAGTAAATTAAATTATTTCCATTGTAGAAAGGAGAATATTTAGAACATTTATAATTCGTAGAATTGAAAGGTAAGTTAAAATAAGGTTAAAATCTGAAGCAAATCATCCGAGATCGAAGAGAATGAAGCGTAGAATCCAATGTCTCACAAATTGGTTTCTTCTGGAAGACGGAACTCATTTCGTTTTTTTCACGCTTGTATTACAGTTATGCGGTATAACAACGACGTCGTGAGAAACCAACTGCGACTTCCTGCGAGCTTTCACTTCGTTTAATTGTGCTCGTTTAATTCGTGACTCTTGACAATCTTGACATTGAACACAAAGCATTTTGTCGTGGAGAGAAAGTAAAGGGGAAACAGTTTATCAAGTGTAGACAAATTGAACGTAACAGGTGCGAGGAGGTCGCCATTAAAAATTAATTTTCTCTTTTGAAACTCTCGATTATGCCATCGTAATCTTTCAAGAAATAAAAAAAATTTCTTTCAAATATCATTACAACTATATTATATAACAATACTTATATATTCATAAAACAAACAATAGCGAAGTTTACACAGGTAATATAACTTAGATCTTGTTAATTACACGCTAATGTAGTCGAACAAATGGTTCATAAACGATGGATCCTTGATTGCCGAGACGAACGAAGCGAGTTATCGACGCAATTTTAAATTAATATTTCCTTCGTTAATAGCCCGTTCAAAATCATCGATCGAAATTTATTTAATTAGATAATGGCAATAATATATATCGTCAATGATATCGATTAATATATAGAAAATTTTTTACTTTCCCACCACATTGCAAATTTTTATTTTATTTTATTTCTCCAGTCTACGAAAACTTTCTACTTCTCCGCTTTGTAAAATTTCCATTTCGCAAATTTTCTATTCTCTACTTTCCTGAATTTTCTCAATTGTGATACACGGGCAAAACGCGTGTGGACTCACGAGGACGATGAATTTTCACCCATCGGGAGAAATCGGTTCGCGTGCCACGAGAAAATCTATAACCTTTTTCATCCGACAACCGGTTTACTCGCGCTTTCCTTCTGCCCGAGTTACATTTCTCAGCTGCTTTTATCTCTTTCCATTCTCCTCGATTCCCCATCTTCCCTCGTTTTCTCCAATTACGGCATCCAACGTTGCGCCATTGAACTAATTAACTTTGCGATCCACACGATTCCGTGGACTCGTTTCGATTCCTCGAAGTCGGCCTCCCCCCCCTATCCCTATTTAGCAAAATCACCGAGCGATTGATACGAGCGTGAAAGTGACACGCGCTCGAAAGTGGCGCATCAATTTAAATAATCTTCCACGAATTTGAATTTTTTCCAAAAAAAAAAAAAAAAAAAAAAAGATGATCATTTCTTTTCTATAAATAATGTACGCAGTTTCTCTCTGGTTTAACGTAGTAAAATATAGATTTAAAACAAGTTTGATATATTCTAACTGATTATCGTAGTAATTTATTAATAGGATGTATTTTATATATAGTACATGATAGCACGTTTGCTTGAATGCTTGAACGAATATATTAATTATTGTTAGTACAACCGTTTCTTAATTGATGTTTTAATACGTCTTCAATCATTTCGTTGTGAAAGTACGATAAATACTAATTTTTATTCCAGTAGAATTATCGCTATAACGAGCTTGTTACTTGGTTTAGTTGAAATTAGAAATTTGAGATAGATTTAGAAGAAAATATATATATATATAAAAATTATTGGATGGAATTTTGAATACACGTTTAATTTGACTCGAAGGAATTTTTAATCGATACGCTTTTAATATTTATTATGATAAAAATCGTGTTTCCAAATGGTAACATTTTTTTTTTTTATTTAAAAATTTCAGATTGGAAGCAAGTTAAGAAAGTTTCCAGTCGGCGGTCAACGATAATCATGCCAATTAAGCGAAGTTTGCCATCAAGATGACCTCGACGAAGCCGATCATCACGTTTTCATGGCTGTTGCGATCCTACAAGAGGCCTAGGTTTAAGCTGGAATGGCTCGGTTTCGTGTTCGCCTGCCTTTTGTCCAGTTGCTCGGCAAGGAACAATCCACCGCGTTTCCTGATCGACGGCCAAACGGAAATCATTCTCAGGCAGAAAGAAGGTCCTGATACGCCAGTTGGTAAGGACATATGGAACTTGATTTCTGCTTCGGTTAACACGCCACGTGGACGAGAACGGAATTAACATTCCTTAAAAACTTCGTTAAAAAATCACCGACAATATAACATTATATCTCTCATATATCATATTTTTAAACAAGGAAGAAAAAAAATAATCCAATCTTTGGCAATTAATTTTCTATAAATTATTTATAGAGGGGAGGGAAAAAAAAATTATTCGTAAAATTATTATACTTCCGTTTTTAATTATAGGATTAATTTCAAATTGTAATAATCACTTTATTTTTCTTTATTGCTAAAATATACCATAAACGCGTATTTAGTTTTGATTTTTTTCTCTCTCCATTATTATTTCCCCTTTTCGTTTCGATCAATGCTCGTAATCTCGAGATTAAGTTTCATTATTATATACCCGTGAAATTTTTATACCCGTGATAATAAATATATTTCTTTGAAATTCGTACAAATTTTCCACGCCTGTTTCAATCATCCTCCACTGACCGCATCCTCGATATCATCGCCCCCCCCCCCCTCCCCAATCATCGTTTCCACGCGGCGTTTAAATTAATCACGCCTTTATCGTTTCCTGGTGTATCGCGTTGCGATTCGTGCCGACTGGTTTCTGTTGCAGGCAGTTTAATTTACAGGCTTCGCGGCATCGATCCTGACGGTGACAGCCTGACGTTCGGCGTTAGAGATCAACCTGGCAGCGACGTGATTCGGGTCGAGAATTTTAGCCCAACCGAGGCCAATATTTACTTGAACAAATTGCTGGACAGAGAGGTAATTCGTCCCCGAGACGGTCTATTTCACACCAATCCTTTTATTCCATGGATATTCTCCCGATCTCGATTCCCAATCGATAATAGCTTTGATATTGTTTTCCAATATCATTTCATCCTTTCGTTTTATCCAAGTTGGCAATTCAATATTAATTCTAGATTAATTAACTAATTAGAATTATTGTTTGTTAATACGATTAGAAAAGAGACACGTGTGAAAAATTTTGGAAAGGGTCGATCGATTTTTCTTGGAAGTTCCTGATCGAGTTCCTCAAAGTATCGTTTAACTTTAGGAACGTTAGAATTTTAGATTCTAATTGGAATTGTAAACTTTCTTAGTGGAAGAAAATTTAACTTAACTTTGTTACGTAGAGATGCAAATATTAGTCTTTCGATTAAAAAAAATCTCGAGCGTAACTTTATTCTTCACAAAATTCCTTTTAGGATAACGAAAAATAAAATAAATTAACGAAATCTAAAATCTTGAATCTTGTCACTGTTAATTTTCTAAATTTCAAACTTTCCTTCAGAATTTGCATTGTAATTAAATTTTATGTTATTAATTGTGTATCAATAAAAATTGAAGGAGGGATTTTTCCGAAACGGGGTGCAGAAAAGTCCAAATTTTTACCTTTTATCCGTTTCACGAGAGTCAACGAGGGAGAATAATTTTGTTGCTCATCTCGCACGAGCGATCCTACTGAATATCTTTCACGCAGTAGTAGGCTCGATCGCATCGATGTCGAAGATATTAAAGAGAAACTCGTGGACGAGCGAGGGAACTAAAGAACCGTGCAACCGTGCCCGATCCACGCCCGATCTATTCGTGGAACTTGTTATTTTGTCATCATCGTCTCTCTTAAAACGTGACCGTTTGCGTGTAGGCTTAATCCCTCCGCCGAGGGAATATCGCGCTTCCCGCGTGATTATTGGTTTGACGATGCACGTATACCGACAGAGATTCTCTATCGTCGTGGTTTTATAATGATCTGGATAATGCCGCCACTTTCTAAGCGATAGGGTGGTTTGCATGCCGTCTAGCTTTCATGATCCGTTCCAATTTTTTCCTTCTTTTCTTGTCATCTCGGACGTTCCACCTAGGGAATTCGATTTACCAGCTTTATTATTATACCGCGCGAGAAAATCAATTGGCTGTATTATTTGTAACCTGTCTCTCCAATTATATATTCCTTTTTTCTTTCTCCAGAGATTTTTTTTTAAACAATTGTATTGAAAAATATCGTGAATCAGAGTGGATCAACTTTCGATCGATTTCAAAATTATTAATACATCTGTGTATAGTGTCTCCGTAATAATATAGCACAGTAATATAATAACAATATATAATCGTTCAGATATTTCTTATAGAGGAATATCTTGAGTTTGAGAATTTAAAGCTATATTTAAAATTCCCAAGTTTTTTTATTCGACAAAAGTCGAGAATTTTGAGAATTTTGAGTATATTACGAATTCGAATCCAGTACAGTAATATAATAATAATATATAATCGTTCAGATATTTCTTATAGAAGAATATCTTGAGTTTGAGAATTTAAAGCTATATTTAAAATTCCCAAGTTTTTTTATTCGACAAAAGTCGAGAATTTTGAGAATTTTGAGAATTTTGAGTATATTACGAATTCGAATCCAGCACAGTAATATAATAATAATATATAATCGTTCAGATATTTCTTATAGAAGAATATCTTGAGTTGAAGAATTTAAAGCTATATTTAAAATTCCCAAGTTTTTTTATTAGACAAAAGTCGAGAATTTTGAGAATTTTGAGTATATTACGAATTCGAATCCAGCACAGTAATATAATAATAATATATAATCGTTCAGATATTTCTTATAGAAGAATATCTTGAGTTGAAGAATTTAAAGCTATATTTAAAATTCCCAAGTTTTTTTATTCGACAAAAGTCGAGAATTTTGAGAATTTTGAGTGTATTACGAGTTCGAATCCATATAAAATTTTGTTCAGGTGAGGGACGAGTACGCGTTGGTGTTGACTCTGACAGATGGAAGATTGGGCGAGGGAAATTTCATCACGCAAAGTTTATTGCTGCTTGTCGAAGATGTTAATGACAACGTGCCAATATTTCGTCCGCACCCGACTTCCTTGACGTTACGCGAGGATTCCGGGCCAAGCGTTTTAACAACGGTCGAAGCCACGGACGCGGACTTGGGGGCGCACGGCCAGGTGGTTTACTACCTGCAGGAACTGGACGGGGATAATGACGTGTTCAGTATTTCGACCGTCAATGGAAAAGGTGTCATCCGGTTGGTCGGCCGCCTCGATTACGAAAAGAAATATTTGTACCAGTTGAGGATTTTGGCGATCGATCGAGCGATAAACGAAAAGGTTTAAAAAAAAAAAAAAAATTATTTTCGAGTTATTTTCGATAATTTATTTTCACGTACAAAAAATTAGACTTATTCTACGCGACGAACATATATCATCTTTTGTTTCATTGTTTAGACATATAAGGGTACGAAAATTGTATTTTAAGATAGAGCCCGCATGCTAATTATCGTTTACATTGAAAAATATGTTTGCAAAATATTCCAAGGAAAGCAGAAACGAGAGTATTTGCGCGGTTAAATTAAACTTTTATTTTTGTTACGTAGCATTTGTTTCTCACTCTATCTTTAATTATCTTTAATAAAGGTAAATACAGGAACAACCGCGATACTCGTCAAAGTTCAGGACGTCGAGGATCAACCTCCGGAGTTCATAACCATGACACCTGTTGCCAGAATCAGTGAGAATGCTAGGATAGGCACATCCGTTCTCCACGGTTAGCCAACGATTTATTATGTATCATATCAGAAACTATAGCAAACTATATCAAAAAGAAAAAAAAAAAAGGAACAAAACAAATATTAAATTTACACGAAAATATCCAACGAAGCAAGTGATAAATATCGTAGAATTATGTCTTTTTTAGAAGCACGTTCCGTTACTTTCACTCACCGTAAAATTAGTAATAAACTATTCTCTAATTTATCGGTTAATTTTTTTTTTTCTTTTTTTTTTTTCGAAGACTCAGGAAACGTTTTACGGTTCGCATCCTAAACGATTAAAATTTAATCGCCTTATGAAATTCATTCTTCCGTTCGATTGCGATCGGAATCGTTACAGTTAATAGTTACGAATGGTTTATTAAAATCGCGAAATACACGTTACAGTGCGCGCAGTGGACGGCGACAAGGGAATAAACAACAAAATCGTATACAGCATCACCCAAGGGCCGAGATATCTGTTCGACATAGACGCGACATCCGGCCTGGTGTTCACCAGGGCGCAACTCGATCGAGAAGCGGAGGAGAACGCCGACGGCACTTTCATCCTGGAAATCACCGTGAGAGAAGTGTCGAAAGTCGTGCCCGCGCCATCGGTTTCCACCGAAGTCACCATCATTCTGACGGACGTGAACGACGAGGCCCCCAAGTTTCGTAGCCCGAGATATCGTGCCGAGATAAACGAGAACGCGCCGTACAATACACCGGTCAATTTCATCGGTGATGCGATACCGGAAGTTTACGATCACGACTTGGTGAGAAGCGGATAATGTTCAGTCTATAAATTGCAAAAGAGAGAGAAAAAAAAAGAGGATCGATGATTCAATATGAATTTCGACAAATGTGTGATTACGGGATGCTAATGTATTCGTGGAATACATTTTCAATACATCGTATTTTCTGTTTTCAGAATACTTTTGTTTCAACCAACAGGTTGATTTCGCGAATATGTTAGCATTCAGTAGTGTACGGTTTACGAGAAAGTGGTTTCGTTTCGATCGGAGAAATTGAAATGGAGAAGAAAAAACTCTTTTACAAATTCTTGCATTATACAAAGCATTCGATTCTTTACTTTTGCTTGGTAAAATTTAATTAGGAACGAAGCAGTCTTAAAATTGTATTTTTCTCTTTCTGTTTGAACAGTGAGTCAGCATCTTCTTCTCACGAAGAATTTTGTTGCAGGGTACAAATGGTACGTTCAGAATGTTCATCGAAGGTGATGACGGAATTTTCGACGTAACCCCGTCCAGAGGAATCAACGAAGCTCCCTTCCTTATACGCGTCAAAAATTCCAGCAAGCTGGATTTCGAAACTAGATCGGGTATCTATTCCGAACAATCGTTCGATTATTCTCAATTTAAAATTTCAATTACGTAGATTTAACGATAATTTCGTGGTTTTAGCGGTAAATTTCACGTTAATCGCGAAGGAAGTGGTGACATCGGCACCGAAACTTAGCAAAGTGCCGGTAGTCGTTTTCGTAAAAGATCAGAACGATAATTATCCGGAGTTCACGGAAGACAAATACGAGGTATCGATTCCGGAAAACTGCGCTGTTGGAACCACGGTGGCGTGGGTTCAAGCCTTGGACGAGGACAGTGACAATTTTGGGACGCATGGGATTAGATATACGAATTTAGGTGGCAGTATTGCACACGCGTAAGTTTATATAAAATTAACGTGAAATCCTTTAAAGGTGAAAAAGAAAAAAAGAAGACAGTCAAAGCCTTTGGATCCTAAAATTTAAAAAAAATATAATATAGTTCGACGATTTTGACAACTTATTTACGAACTTATACTCCTTGCAATTTATAATTTTACAATTTTACGATATTTACGATATTTTCAACGATATTTATTGGATTCGTTTCAGACTATCAATGGATCCTTTAACAGGGATAATCACGGTTAAGGAACCCGGGACAAGTTTCGACCGAGAACTGGTATCTCGGCATTACTTAACCGTGGAAGCGAGAGACGATCTTGGGAAAGGGAATCGCAATACCGTCCAACTGATCGTCAATGTAAACGACGTTAACGACAATGCGCCCATATTTCTGCAAAACAAATACGAAGCGGTGCTTCTTGAAAACGAGGATCATTTTCAATCGCCATTAATCGTCGAGGCATTCGACATCGATTTGAACGGTTCGATATAACTTTCGATATACGCACATATTACATAGAGAATTCTACGTTCGATATCGATTATCGTTTCCAGGTACCAAGAACAGCGAAGTGGTGTACGCTTTGGTGTCGGGAGAATTTTCGAGGAATTTCAGTATCGATTCGAGGCAAGGGATTATCACCCCTACAACACCTTTGGATTACGAAGCTTTGCCAATCAGTCAAGGGCACAAGGAAACGTCGGTACGCCCGTTGAGATTGACAGTGCGGGCCAGGGATATGGGTAGCCCAAGCCTGAGCTCGGACGCGCCATTAATTATTTACCTGAAGGACATCAACGATAACGCGCCCGCATTCGAGAGAACGTTGTACAAAAGAAGCATTCCCGAGGATCTGCCTGGTGGCACCAGTGTGGTTCAAGTACCATATTATTTTATTCCCATTGAACGTTACGTTACGCGATAAAATTTTTCACGTAATACAACGTATATCCTTGTTGCACAGGTCAAAGCTTGGGACAAGGATTTGTCCTCGCCCAACAACAAATTAGTGTATCGAATCCAAAGCGGTGCAGGCGATAAATTCGTAATAAGCCCGGAAATAGGGGTAATTAGGGTTGCGCCGGGATCTAATTTAGATCCTGATCTAACCTCGCCGAAAACAACGAGGTACAGCTTGAACGTTATCGCGATCGACAGTGGGACGGAGATTCAAAGAACGGCCGAAGTTCTAGTCAATATCACTATCGTCGATGTTAATAATAAACCACCTGTTTTCATCGATCCTGGTACAGTGACTATTCGTGAAAATACGCAGGTACGCAGTCTGTGTTCGTCTGCCACGAATAATTTCTATGGGAAAAAATTGCACGTTAACAGTAAAAATTATTTTATAAATACTTTTGCAAGATACTGATTAAATTTTTAAATTTTTAATATACAATAATTTATTTCAATTTTTTGATTTCAAATTTATGAAACATTTTTTTATGAAATCTTGGTACAGTCTATTCGTGAAAATACACAGTCTAATATAGTAAAAGTCTAACAGTAAAATTATTTTAAATACTTTTGCAAGATATTGATAAAATAAATGTTATAATTTTTAAAGTTTCAATATACAATAATGATTTATTTCGATTTCAAATTTATGAAATCCTAGTACAGTGAGTATTCATGAAAATATACAGTGTATTCGTCTGCCACGAATAATTTCTATGGGAAAAAATTAAAAATTAAATTAAAAATTGCACATTAACAGTAAAACTTATTTTATAAATACTTTTGCAAGATATTGATAAAATTTTATAATTTTTAAAGTTTCAATATACAATAATGATTTATTTCGATTTCAAATTTATGAAATTCTAGTACAGTGAGTATTCACGAAAATATACAGTGTATTTGTTTGCCACGAATAATTTCTATGGGAAAAAATTAAAAATTAAATTAAAAATTGCACATTAACAGTAAAACTTATTTTATAAGTATTTTTGCAAGATATTGATAATTAAATTTTTAATACAATAATTTATTTCAACTTTTTGATTTCAAATTTATGAAACATTTTTTTATGAAATCTTGGTACAGTCTATTCGTGAAAATATACAGTCTAGTATAGTAACAGTCTAATAGTAAAATTATTTTAAATACTTTTGCAAGATATTGATAAAATAAATTTTATAATTTTTAAAGTTTCAATATACAATAATGATTTATTTCGATTTCAAATTTATGAAATTCTAGTACAGTGAGTATTTATGAAAATATACAGTGTATTTGTTTGCCACGAATAATTTCTATGGGAAAAAATTAAAAATTGCACGTTAACAGTAAAACTTATTTTATAAATACTTTTGCAAGATATTGATAAATAAAATTTTTGAAGTTTTAATATACAATAATGATTTATTTCAATTTCAAATTTATGAAATCCTAGTACAGTGAATATTCACGAAAATATACAGTGTATTCGTCTGCCACGAATAATTTCTATGGGAAAAAATTAAAAATTGCACGTTAACAGTAAAACTTATTTTATAAATACTTTTGCAAGATACTGATAAAATTTTAAAATATTTAATATGCAATAATAATTTATTTCGATTTCAAATTTATGAACAGTGAGTATTCATGAAAATATACTTTGTCTACCATGAATAATTTCTTTAGGAAAAAATGTTTTACCCGTTAAAAATGTAACAGTCGTAAAATTTATTTCATAAACATTTCTGCAAGATATTGATAAGTAAAATTTTGCAATTTTAAAATTTTTAATATACAACAACGATATATTTCGATTTCAAAAAAAAATTTATGAAACACAATTTACAGAGTTACTTAAAGGAAATTAAACATCTGATAATTTGCACAATTATTATTATTTAGGTTGGAGCTTACGTGCACCGTGTTGTTGCTAATGATCCAGACATCGCGCCTATATTGCGTTACCGTATCGATCCGAATTCTTCGGAGGCAAGAAACGAGGAAGGGACGTTGATCAAGATCCAAGAGTACGATTATCTGTCCACGTTGGAATTGAACGCACTCGATGGATTGCTTCGCGTAGTCAAATTGTTAGACAGAGAAAGGGTGGAGACGATAAGATTGGGATTGATCGTTGAAGATTTGGCTGCGATCAGGGGGATACAGACTGCATCCGGTTAGTAGAAAAGTAAGAATGAAAAGAGCGTAATTTTTTCCATTTTGTAAATTCTCATCATCGTTTCAGCCACGTTGAACATAATAATCGAGGACGAGAACGATAACAATCCACGATTCCGCCGGCCATTTTACAGACGATCGGTGACAGAGAACAGTAAAAATGGTGTGAACATCGCGAACATCGTGGCTGATGACGCTGACAAAAATCGGAGCATTACGTATTCCTTGGAAAGTCCTAAAGAGCTCACGGATTTAGTCCATCTTGACTCTGAAACGGGTGAAATGGTGGTTGCGAACAAGATCGATAGAGAGCAATATTCCTGGCTCAATCTGTCGGTTCGAGCCACCGACTCAGGAATTCCACCCAGGTAAACTTGTTCTTTGCAATTTTTGATCGATCGATCGATCGTTCATTCGTTGAACTTTACTCCGTCTTGAATAAAATTGTGGACAAATTTTGTAAAATTTTCTATAATTCGACGTATATGATTCCCTCTTTTTCTCCGAATATTTTAATGATATGTATATAACGCATATTTTTTTTTTTAAACGTATGTTAATTGAATATTTTCAATCAAAAATTCATTTTTGAGTCAAAAAAAAAAAAAATTAACAATTTTATTTTACTCACAGATCAAGTCTTTCCGAAGTGTACGTTCAAGTATTGGATGAAAATGATAATAATCCATACTTTGTCACTGACATTAATAATCTGAACGTGATGGAAAATTCTAAAATTGGTACAGAGATTGCCACGATCCAAGCTAGAGATCCCGACAGCGGAGATTATGGAAAGATTACGTATCTTTTAGACAGAATGTCATCCGAGGTAAGCCCGAACTACTTAACATTTATCACGAGATGAGGAGCACGAAAAAAGGATTCGTCATCGAAGATGTCTCATGAACAGGGCACGTTTGCCATCCATCCTGAAACTGGTGCATTGACTGTAGCAGATTCGATTGATTGGGAAGTGAAACAAAATTACGTTCTAGTCATAGAGGCTTGGGATAATTATCAATTTGGTTACACTGCTGGTGAATCGAGAAATGCTTTCAAACAGATCCAGTAAGTTTATATTTCATATTCAAATTAAACGCGCAATATCAAAATTACAAAAATTTGTTAAGGGTGACGGTGACGGATGTTAACGACAACCCACCAAAAATGGACGTACCCCCGACATGCGTTACAATATCAGAGTTCCACGACATTAAAGATCTTATTTTCGCCGTGAAAGCGAAGGATGCGGATGATCCGAAGACGCCAAATGGCCGCGTGAAAATTCGAATTCTTTTCGGGAATGAATTAGGTCTGTTCATGTTGGAGCAAACGGATTATTGGACAGCGAATATAAAAGCAGCGCACCCTCTTCGAGGAAAATTCGGGAATTATTCGTTGCATCTGGAAGCACGAGATCTCGGCAGTCCATCTAACAAAGACACTGCTGTTCTGCACATCTGTGTGACCGATTACAACGACAATCCGCCATTGTTTATCAGTCCACATCACAATACGACTATTCGAATACCAGAGGTGAATTTCATTCTAATTGCACTCGTGCAAATAATATTAATCAAAAAAGAAGAAGAAAAAAAAAATGGTAACAATAAAAATCCACAGAACGTAACAGTTGGAACACCGATCATACAAATCGAAGCCAAAGACGCCGATACCGGTCCAAATGGGGATGTTCATTACCGTTTGAAGCAAGACTTGGCCGGCCATTGGAGAACTTTTCACATCGACGATGTAACTGGAATTATCTCGTTAAAACTTCCTTTGGACAGAGAAACGCAAAAATTGTACGAGGTAATAAATTAATTGATCGATTAAATTACAATTAAAGGATAAGATGACAATAATATCTTTTAACTATCTCTTTTTACACACGTCAGATCAGAGTGGAAGCTTACGATCTAGGAACTCCAACCCCGCTCAGCACGGATCTAGATCTAATAATCTACGTGCGAAACATTAACGACTACGAACCTCAATTTTTGCTAGACGTATTCAACATCAACTTTACGGAAGAACAAGCTCCAGGAACCGAAACGGTACAATTGCCGGAAACAATCGACAAAGACGAGGTTGATGATCTCGATGATCCCCCGACCCAAGTGTGCTACTTCATAATCAACGGGAACGACGACGGCCTCTTCATCCTTGACATTTTTAAACACGAGTTAACCGTACGTATCAATCGTCCGCTTCGATTCGTGATCGATTAATTTTACAATTAAATCCTTCTTCAGACCGCCAGGATATTGGACAGGGAGCAGCAAGAGGAACATTTGTTGATCATCAAAGCGACAGAGGATTGTAACATCGTTCCGGCGAACGAGACGTTGTTCGACGAAACGAACGACACCACGTTGAAAGTTGTTATAAACGTGATGGATATAAATGACAACCCGCCCAAGTTTGTCAGTAAAATATTTACGGGAGGGGTTACGACCGAAGCTGATTTTGGCTCCCAATTTATGCAAATCAAGGTAGTGTGGTATCTGAATTTCGTCGAGAATTGAAGAGAAAGAGAAACGGAAGAGAAAAATAAAATTATTAAGTTTTGAAAAAAGAAAAAAAAAAAAAATTGAAAGAAAACGATGGTTTCAGGCGATCGATTTGGACGCGGATGACAACGCCGTGGTCAATTATTATCAAATTGGTAAGATACACATGACTTTGACAGAGGGTTTAGACGATATCGAGTTACAACCGTTTCTTGTTAACAAACTCACGGGGGTAGTGAGCTTAAATTTTGATCCTCAAAGAGGGATGAAAGGATATTTCGACTTTATGGTAGGTGATTCAAATTGAATTTACGAGAAAATCGTTATTTAAAGAAAAAAATCTTATTGATCTTATTATATATATACAGGTGCTGGCAAATGATACTTACGGGTTAGAAGATACCGCGAGGGTATTTATTTATTTATTAAGAGAGGATCAGAGAGTTCGTTTTGTATTGCGACAACATCCACCAGAAATAAGGAATAAGATAGAAACGTTTAGAGAGTGAGCATCTATACTTGGAAAAAAAAAAAAAAAAAAAAATATTCGAAATTACAAATTAAAATTTTAATTTTTTTTTTTTTCAAATGAATTAACTTTTAACACTTTGTTTTGACAAGTATAAATTTTCAGAATATTGGGGAACGTGACCGGGGCTATAGTCAACATAGACGAATACAAGATTCACGAGAATCACGATGGCTCTGTCGATCGAACAAAGACCGACTTGTACATGCACCTTGTAAATCGTCGAGACAATTCCATTCTCGAAGTGTCGGAGGTTCTCGAATTGGTGGACAGAAATATAGAGAAGCTCGACGGTCTGTTCAAGGAATTCAATGTTCTGGACACGCAAGCGGCCCAGTATCAACCGATTGTTCAGTACGAGCAAGCGGGAACCACTTTTTGGCTTTTGACTTTGACCTTGTTTCTGGGTGCTCTGCTAATTCTCTGCATAGCCCTCTGTATCTCGCAGAGGGCCTCGTTTCGAAGGCAATTGAAAGCAGCTAACGCCACCCCGTTTGGTAAATATCATATCGATTAAATTTATCATCGAATTGTAATAATTCGAAATACAAGTAATAAATTTATGAAAATTATTCGCTTTTGTTTGGAAGGAACCTCGGACGCGGAATTTATCAGAGGACCCGGCCGCGTACCGAACACGAACAAGCACAGCGTGGAAGGTTCCAATCCCATATGGATGCATGCTTACGAGAACGAATGGTTTAAAAGTGACGAATCGATCAGTCATATGTCCGAAAGAGACTCTTTGGACGAAAATGCGCTGAACAACGAAGAGATAATGAACGAAGCTAACGCAAACCAAAGAAACGATGATAAACCGTATTATATCGAGCCAAGAGTGTCTTCCATTTCGAGGTAATTTGATTAATTGGTTCAATGGAATAGATTTTCTAGATGCGTTAGATATAATAGAAAATCAATTTTGATTTTATAGCGCGGAAAGTATTCCAGATATACCAAATGACTTCCATCGAAGTTCACCCATATATAGAATGCAAAATAATATCGTCAATCCTCTTGGCAAAAAAATAGAAACGACAGAGCTGTAATTGAACAACGATCAACATTTTACTATATTAGATAAAGATGTTTATTTATACGATAATATTTATATATAATTTCCGTTAAGAGAGTGTAAAGTTAAAATAATTTTGTGTAAATAGTTCGTACAACAAGTTCGTACAAGCGCAGTAATAAGTATATTTAATATATTTATTTTATAATAATTTAAAAAAAAAAAGTAACGATTATATTATCTTTTTATTTACTGATCTTTTGCCTCGTGCCTATGGCAACAAGTACAAGCGTTTATCTTTAATGAACTTAATTCGCAAGTACATAATCATGACTCATCGGTTTAAATTTAGAAATTTAATGATCTCTGCACATCAATACTTTAAATACATTTGTACACCTTCATACTTTTTTTTTTTTTTAAGAAATAAAATAATTAATACAATAATACTTTTAATTTTATCCTTTGCAATTTACAATTAACTAATATTAAGAATCTAATTTTTATTTGTGTGACGTTCAATACGTAACGTTTGTTTAATAATAAAAAAATGTTTTATTCACCAGTATGGTGCTACCATCTACCGGTTTCACAACGAATATGTCTACTATTATCTAACGTTCTCAAAGCAAGAAATGATTAATTACAGATTTAATCAATTGGATATTCTGTCACTATTGTTTAACATTTATTAAATCATTCTAAAATATATTTTCTCCAAGAATTGAGTTTAAAGCACGAATCTTAAAGAGATAGTGACAATATTTTTAAAATAAACGATTCCAATTTTCGTAATTTATACAACTTTGCCTGTTCCAATTGTTCCAAAATAATTTTCATTTTAATAATAATCGCCTGTGCTTAAATTGCTATACGTAAAAACTGCTATCTCATATCGAGCCCTTATAAATTAGAACGTGAAAACCGGGCATGCAAAATGAAGCCAACCCTCCCCCCGGAACAATCTTGCTAGTGTATACGTATCCAAAACTGGGTCGCATAATATTAAAGCGCGATGGCACTTGCACGAAGTCCAAGCCGATGATCAAAACGATGATCCCTTCGTAGTAACTCATGGCGAAGGTTTAGTTTAGTTTATGGTTTTACGATCGATCATAATATATTTTCAGCGAAATTGTTTTTTTTTCTTTTCTTTTTTTTTTAACGGCGAGAGATCGTTATCCTCGAGAAGGTTATGGTGGCGGCTCGTAACGATGGTATCGCGGCACGAAATACCACTAAAAGAAGTATCCATTGTTCGAATGCAAATGAAGCTTGTTGGTACCGGTGACCTCGATGGGTCAGTCACACTTCTCGATCCCTTTCACCCTTAACTTCTATAGCGTTTAATACGAGACATTTCTTGACAATTACTTCAACCACGCCATCGTCTTATCAATCGTGAGGGAATTGGAATAAAAGATGGACGAAAAAACCGTGAAAGACGCGTCTTTTTCGATCGATATCTAAATCAACATTCTCAAACAATGGATTTCGATTAAAGGAAAATTTTGTTGAATAAATTGTAAAAAAAAGAAAAAGAAAAAGGAGGGATAAAATTGAATATATAATGAAGAAGAGATTAATTGGTAAATTTTGTAATAACATATTTACATAACTGTCCACGTTTCGTTCGCACTTAAAACAGGAAGTTTCATAAATAGAGGTTGTCGCACGAGCATACGTTTTACGGGACGGAAAATGAGCGAGGCAGAAGTCGTACGCACAGAAATCGGTTGTAGGTTGAGAGGTGAGGTAGCCGAGGAAACGGCCACCTTAACTCCCTTATCCTATTCCTGAACGTCAGCTTCGCGTGCAACCTTATGCTAATCTCGATCGGGTATATAAGCGACTGGTCAGTCGGTTCCCTTCTGCCTCTGCTTTTCAACCCTTCACGAGTCCACACCGACCAACGGAACAACCTAGCACTGGCGTTTCCATTAAAATCGGTGGCGTAGCAGCGGTCCTTAATTGATCGTATTTCCAGATAAATGGCATTAAATAAATAAACGAAAAAAAAAGAAAAAAAAAAAAAGGAAAAATTAAAACTTTCGTTAACGAATCTTACAATTGATAATGCATCCTTGATTCCCCTCGTAAAAATTATCTCGCATCAAGTTCCTCTGTTACCAACTTTTAACTATCGCGTATACCATGTTCGTAATTTTTTACGCCACGTATTCCTGCAAATGACAAGTAATCGTTACTTATCCTGGAGTTATATTTAGCTGCTTGTGCCGATCTTGTTTCACGCTATTACCACATCGTGTAGCGATGTATTTATTCTAATTTGCATACACCGATCCTTTGTCGCAACCTCGAAATATCGATAACAGTTCTCTCTCAAACGTCTTTATTCTTTCGTTAACTTTTTTCCAAATTGTTATTTTAATATTTAATTACATTTAAATTATATAAATTAATTTAATCGTATAAAGATTTTCGAACGATTTTATGAGCACGTGTTATAACATTATATGGAGAGTAGGATTTTATTAATTCGTTAAATCAATCAAGAAAAAAATAAATTATAAATCGTTCAACGTCCAAAGCGTAATTAAATAATATCAGGATTATTTACGACATGCAACTCTGACAGTAGTTTTAATCACAGGCAAGTTATCTCGTCTGGACGATGGACGATTAGAGTAAAGAAATCGAACTCTTGAGATGTGTATCGTCGAAATTTGCTCCCCGTGGAAAACAAATCACGCGACCCCCGCGTTAAAGAACCCCTCCTTATTAGGGAGTGCGTATAATACCGAGGCCCTGACTTCTCGAGCCCTGACTCATCGACGTTACACTGCCATTCGGTATTACATCGATAACTTGCAATTTTTTTCGTACGACCTTCCGGAAATCTTATAATTTCATCTACGCAATTTTTTAAGGAATGAATTATTTAAAAAAAAAAAAAAAAGGACGAAGAGAATATATTTTGCGTGACCTTTGATAGCGAAGGTGCGATATCTATCTGCTCCGAAAGAAAAGAATTAATAAGAATAATTGGGAGCAGTGATAACAGTGAAGAAAGTTCAAGGTAAATGATATAGTTCCAAGGATTGGTTCACGAAGAGAAGGTGATTCACGATAGTGATATTAAATTGTAAAAAAGAATTTGAAGAAATTAGAATTGTAAGAAATTATCGTTTCAAACTGTACGAAAAGATTTTTGTGAATTAATTCAGTCGGTGTATTAAGTAAGCAAGTATATTAACTATTTTCTGCATCTACGTTATCGCGATGATCTTTAAATATAATCAATTCAAGGTTGATACAGGCCATTAAAAACTAGTTACAAGCTCATACATTATTACAATTTTGTGCTTTGCCCTAGAATCCGCAGTGAGGATTTGCATAAACGTTACCTTTATACGCATTATTAATACCGCAAAATTTCACAGCTGGAACACGTTTAGATCGAAATAAATTTCTGAGAAATGTCGACTAAAAAAAGGAAAATGTGAATTTCACTTTCATCGAATATTTATACCGTGTATCGATTTTGTTTCAAATATTTCGCAAAAAAAAAAAAAAATTAATTATCTCGATACTCTAATCGAGAAATTCTGACCAAAAATCGGCGATCCGATAACAATAATAAGAAGAAAAGGTGGATGCACCTTCGACAACCTGTGAAGAGGGGATGACCGGTGTTTCGCGGGGTACACGTGACACGAACGTATAGAGTTCGAGTTGAGGGTTGAACGAGACAACCCCTTCACATGCGCGGCGTTCGCGGCCACGTGAAGTGGTGCGTTCTTCCACAACTCTCGAAAATGTCGACCATCGACCACGGTTAAAACTCCTCGCGTTAAAATCTAAATTTCCTTTCGTGGAAATTGTTTGGTCAAAAAAAAAAAAAAAAAGAAAAACTTTTTTTCGGTCGAGAAACGAAAATCAAAGTCGGAAAAAAAAGGAGGAGAAAAACGGAATGTTATGAAAAATTTACGTGACGTGTGTTGTCAACGTGTTACTTTAATCGCAAGTGCTTCGTTCAACGTCTTCTCTTTGTTACATTACAATTTTCGATTAAGATATTTGATTATTTTTGAAGCTTTTTATCGATTTTTATTGATACTCAGAATACTCAGAATAATCATTCCGACATGATTGCTCGTTATTTTTAAAGTGATAGTTTTTTCGAGGGAGAGAGGTATGATTCGTAAGAAGTGTGGATCGCTGTATATTCATGTATGAATTACTTTACGCGGGAAAAAGTAATTTTTTTGAAGGATGCGTTGAAGGAACGATCGATGGATATCCTGGCAAAAACACGATGCATTGCTTCACGATTTTGCGCTACTGAATGACTCTGCGATCAGGTAAGTTGAAACGAATAATATATAAATAATATTGATAAAATTTTTAAATATTTTAAAATAGAAAGAAAATCATTTTTTTCTTCCAATGCTTTAATGCTCTCTATTTATTTTTAATTTTATATTTTTAAATTTTTATAATCTAACGAAACAGTAATAAAACACGAAGAAATATAGCAGATATCCAGTTCGATTGCGTTGTATTTTCCCGAAGAAGAAAGTTTGTGTATTATGTGAATACGTCACACAAGATCGTTTTAATTGACACGACCTGTGTGTTTTAAGTTGGCGTGGCATGCCAACACGACATTTCGTATCCGACTAACGAAGATATTTGATCGTTCTACATTTTACGACTTGAAAGGCGTTCCACCATTTCGTAAATATACATAATCACATTTACTTCATTCATGATATTCATCAATGATAAAGTTTCTCATAATTTCTCACTTCACATTTTTCGTTATTAACGATTACATAAATTAATGCGAAAAATCTATACTGTAACCGAATTCAATATGAATATTACATTACGTGTATATATATATATTACGTGTATAATGACAGGTGCGTGTTAAAGGGAAAAAGAAAATCAGATCGATCCATCCGGAGTGGACAATGACCGACAGCAGGAATAGCATTAAATTCTTATGCACACGAATGGACGAACTTGAAAGCTCGATTCTTCTTCTCGAGGACAAAAACATGAGATGAATATTTTTAAACATTTATCAACTGTCTCGTGTTTACACGAATCAATTGAAATTTGATGAGTTGAATAATTAATAAGTATTCCGATTTCCGTTATTTTTAAATATTTATTTATCAAAGTTCTTTGAACCCTCTATGCATTTTTTATTGCATTCGAGATTGATCGAACTTTGACTCGTGAGAAAAAACTCTACTACATAACAATTCGAAATTCAATTCAAGTAATAACTATTTTTTTCTTTTTAACCATTTTCTCTTAAAATTTGTCGTAGAAATAATTGATGGCATATGTTTACTTTTATCCCACGTATTATTTAATTCAATTTAGTGAAATTTCATCGTGCCAAATGATATTGTATAATTCGTGAGATCAGATGTACTTAGTCGTTTCAACGTTTTTGAACGACAGACAGAAGGCACATGTCTTGAGAATGAAAAAGGCAAATTAAAGGCTTTCAAATTAATTGGGAGGAGAGGATATTCTCAAATTTTTGTATGTAATTGATGTATAGCATCGTTTCTAAAATACACACTATCTAATAACAAAAAAAAAAAAAAAAGGAGGAAAAAAATTAATAGATTGGATCGCCATTAAAGCATTACGTCAAACCTACTTTTACCAGTAAAAGGATTGATACAATTGATGCAAAGAACTGACCACTGACGAATACTATTAATTCCGAACAACGAATGGTCACGACCTCGTTTCTTGATCATAAAATCGATATTTCCGATTCTATCAGAATCTTTCTCTTTAATATAGATTATTTACACGTAACCATAGTATTGTTTTTTTAATTCCTCTGTCAACAAATCGTAAATTAAAAAAAAAAAAAAAATCTGAACGATTCATTATGCTTTTTTTTACGCGTTTAATTTTATTAATCATTAATTACCATTAAATATAACATAAAATTTATTAGATTACAAAATAAATTGAACGATCAAAGAAAGAACAATTTAAGAGGTTGAAAAGAAAACGTTGTGAATGAATATTTCATTGTAATTTAAATATTCAATACCTCTCTTATGCCATGACATCGGTATTTTACAGTATTATGAATTATTTCTTAGTAAGAGATCGATAAATTTCTTGTTGATCGGAAATTGAACGCGATGGCGTCTAACAGTAACCGTTTATTTCTATCAGATTTCCGGATTCAAATATTAAAACGAAACTCACACGTATATGTAACCATACGAACGATATAACCATACGTAATATTCGTTAAAAATAATATGCAAAAAATAATATTGCTCAAATATTTACAAATGAAAATTTATCACCCGATTATTGTCGATGAATTACACCACTGTTGAAAGAGGGAAGGGGTGCGCGCCCTATCACGCGGGAAGGATGACCACCAACTCTCCCTTAAATAATTGCTCACTCGATAAATGGAATGACTGTCAGTTCGTTGGAAGGGATTTGAACTCGGTTCTTTGCAATATTTAGAAAAGGAATAAGGGAAATAAGAGACTGGAAAACGAACGAAATATCGATCATTTCATTAACGCAAGAAAGTGGGTAAACTCGATTTGTCAAATTGATCGAAAAATAAACTCCTTATTCGCGATAATGGAATTGAAATAACATTAAAATTTTTTAATATAAGTGAAAGCAAACTTGAGGGTAACAACGAAACGAAATTTTTCGAATTCAATATTCGTATGAATAACTTTTCGATTTATTGTAAGATAAAATTGTAGAAAACGCGATTTCCCTGTTTACAGAATGCCCTTCGCAGGAGAATGGTGCAAAGTATGGATTTATTTCGGATTCGTTTTCGCGTGGGCGAAAGGTGCACGTCCACGCTTTGATACTTCCACGGATATGGGATTAGTCTTAGTTCCAGCGGATGCTGAAGTAGATTCCGTCATTTTTCGTCTTCGCGCCACTGACCAGGATGCAGATTTTCCACTCGTTTTCGAAATAACCGGTAATCCCAATATTACAATTTAATGTAAATTACTTGAATTATAAACAAAACAAAAAAAAAAGACAACAAGAGATGACCAATATATCTTTGTTACAATTAATTATTCGCGACTATTGAACGCGTGTTAGAAAAAATAAAGTATTGATCGGAGTAACGATAATTTTTTATTTGTTTAGCTACCATCACACCTGTTGTAAGGATCGACAACCTGCCGTGCACGTTGTATAACAAAGTGTGTCAAGCAAATGTGATTCTAACGAAACGGCTGGTTCCCGGACGCCTTCACGATTTTGCCGTGAGGGTTAGGGACACGAAGGGAGACTCGAACTCGATGCAAGCCACTATTTCTGTTACGAACGCGACCACCCCTCGTGATAAAATATTCCCGCACATACCTTCCCTCATTATGGTGCCCGAGGTAATTATTTATTGAGACGAGAAACGACACGATTACTGATGCCATTTAGCCTTTTCGCGCTTCACAATTTTCATTCTCTTTCAATTATTATTCATAAGAATGTAAGAATAAGAAGAAGAGGGAGAGAAAGAAAAAACGTTTCAGAAATTCGTGATTGTTCGTAATTAATAGAGAATATACAAAGGAATGATATTTTTTTATTTTTACATTTAAGGAAATTAAATTAAATGGTTTTCAACTTCCTTTAGGATACCAAACCGGGCAAAGAGTTAGATTATCTTCTAGTGAGAGCCAATTCTCGAAGCGGAAAACCTGTTTATATCGAACTATGGGTAAGTTAAGATAAGCGATATTTATATTTATATTAAATAGTAAAAAAAAAAAAAAATAGCATTTATGTGTCCACTGAATCATGATAACACCGCGTTATAATTTATCGTCACCTTTGTAGCAACCAAAAGAACTTTTTACCATAAGGCAACGGCAAACGCCCATCCAAACACGAGGAGTAATCATACTAACTGGAGAGTTAGATTTTGAAACGCAATCTATGTACACCCTTACCATGTATGCAACGGTACGAGAACGAGTGCAATTGCAATTACTTCTCAATGGGAAAAATCGAAATAAAGCGTTTCGTTTATTTAGGATCCGTACACGGAACAGGGGAAGGATACGAGAAATATCGCGGGTCTAAGCGTGGTTGTGATAGTTCAAGACGTACAAGATGTCCCTCCAATTTTTACCTTGGCACCTCCCCTCACGAGGATTAATAATTCCATACAACCTGTAAGTAATTTTTTTTTTTTTTTTAAATTTGCAAATTTACATTTCCTTTTTTATATAGAACATTTGAACGTAGAATCGTTGTTTAATAAATTATCAAATCGAATTATCTTGCGAGACGAAATTGTCGGAAATTATCTTTTGTCGCGGAAGAGAATGAAGTACATTTGATTTTAGGGTGATATAGTGGTGCGAGTGCATGCAGAAGACGGAGATAAAGGAGTGCCACGTGAAATCGTGTACGGTCTCGTGTCCGAAGGCAATCCTTTTACACCGTTTTTTAACATCTCGGAGACAAGTGGTAAGAACAATTGCATTTAAAATCGTGAAACGAAATACCGATTCTAATATCTCGTTGGGATGGGAATGAAAACGGTAAAAAAAAAAAAAAGGAGAAAAAAAGAAACGTTAAAGAAACATTAAAAAGTATCCATGGAATATAAAAATGATTATCACGAGTGATTTATCTTCTATCTCAGTCGACTGTCAACCTTGTATCGTAAACTACGATCATAATCACTGTCTTTCCTTTTTCAAAATTTTTTTTTATATTAATTCAAATCACAAAAGAGAAAAAGAGAGAGAGAGAGAAAGAGAAACAAAAAAAATTTAATTCAATTCAATATTTTTCCAAGAAAAAAATCTATTTATTATCACAATCTAAATTATATAATGCTCGAATAATAAAAGTATTCAAATTTCGCAAGAGAAATTTCATCACTCACGCGAAACGCTTTTATTAAATTCTTACTTAAATCGGTATTCCTATTTAACCTATTTAAGCTCGAGAGAAAATTTGATTACCTCGAATAAGCGAGCAGAAATCACAATGATTTACAAGGGTGTAATTACATTTACCATCCGTGCTATCGGTAGACGAATTATTCACGGGTACACTCATACATAAATCCCCTGATGACCTGATTTCCCCAAGAATTCATCCACCCTGATGAGTAGGGTCTCGAATTAATCTACCACTACTTCGATATCCCGCTTCCTAGCGTTAAAGCGTGAGGGAATGATTCATGTAACCTGGTATAGTAGTCGATACCGCAAAGGGAGGATTACATATGCAATTACATTTTGGTGAAAAATAAATGAAAGACCCAAAGAAATTCCATTACGAGAAAGCTATACCGCTGATATTAAGAATCAGAACGTTCTTTTCTTCTGCAAAAAAGAAAAAGCTTTTCCACATTTAAGGGGGGAAAAAATTCATTTTACGAATTAACCATTAAAATAAAGATAAAAATCGGCAAAATTCTCGGTTTCAAGAGGTAAAAGTAAAAATCTTCGTCTTGTGTTTTTTTTTTTCCAAAAAAGGAACGCGTTTTTCATCGTTGGAGGATAAGCACTGTAAAAGGCCGTGAAACGACGGGGCAACTTTATACGCTCGTTTCCAAGATGATTACAACCTCGCACGAACGTGTTTATCTAATGTTCGAGATCGGTGATACGGATTTCTTTATTTTTTTTTTTTTCGCGAAACCAAAAATAAGCGCGGGAGGCGAGGAAGTGGGCAGAACTCGATGGAAGTGGTCAGGGAGAGGAAAGTCTTGACGCGGTCTACAACGCGGTATCGATCGTGCTTGGGGGTCAGTCTCTGCTTTTCAGGCTACGATGCTTATCATTTCGTGACACGAAGCATGCGACCTCTTCGTGTACATGTGTGTATGGACATTGTGTAAAGGGAAAGGGAGTGAAAAAGAAACGGACAGGGCAGGAAAAGAATATGGAAGAAGATAAAGGAGTATTGTGTTCTCCTTGAAAAAAGAAAGGGCAGGCGGCTATAATTTTTACGCAATAATGGCGGAATAAATGAACGAGATAAGGAAATTTTAAGCATTCGATCGACCGGTTGAGAAATTCCGCGTTTATTTCCAACGATTTTAAATAATATTTTTTTAAATGCGAAGCTTGAAAAATATACGCGAATAGTCGGCGTTTTAATGAAGTTTGAATAATGTATGATGGAAATATATTCTAATTTTTCTCAACTTCGTTTCGTGATATGTTGTGGAAAATTTTTATCACTGGACACGTGTGTTTTACGTTACGTTCGTGCATAAGTGAACAGGATCATTGACCGAAATTATTTATAACACAAACGCGTAATTGGTAATTGATATATCGTGACGTAACAAGCAAAATTTTACATTTTACATCGAAACGAACGAAATTTTAAACACGCTTAAATGTAAATAAAATTTGTAGAAAATTTGATCGTTATAATTATTTTTACCAGGAGGCGATAATAATGATTTTTAAATATCATAGAATTTTAAACTGGAAAGTTAACGTGGAGATTTTAAACTTTATTTAGATTTAGTCTTAATTATTTAAATTATATTTAATTGATAGGTGAAATCACTCTTGCTAGACCTTTGGAGGAGCTCACGCAAATCACGCACGTCGGAGCTCCGGTTGTACTTACGGTAGTTGCTGAAGAGATAAGAAGGAACAGGGACGAGCCACCAGCCCAAGCGACAGTTGTCGATGTTGGTTTCCTTCTTGGGGAACCAGGAAACAGTCCACCGTACTTCGAGAGTGATAAGTTGGTACCTGAGACGTGAATTATTTCCAATTATTAACAAGTATTTCTAAATAAATCACGTATATCTGTAAATCCCATTTAATCCCTTTATATCGAATAAAAATTTAAACTCCAAGAAATTCTTATCGAGGTTAAAGCGAGTCTTTCTTTCGTTTTATCTCATAATTACATTGCCACGATCTGTAAATCCCTTTTAATCCCTTTATATCGAATAAAAATTTGAACTCCAAGAAATCGTTATCGAGGTTAAAGCGAGTCTTTCTTTCGCTCTGTCTCATAGTTACATTGCCACGATAGACGAGAATCCTGAACCGGGGACCGTGATAAACTTTGGTGAACAATATTCGACAAGGGTGAAAGATGAAGATATCGGGAAGGCAGGAGTGTTCACGTTAAAATTGGAGAATAACAATAATACATTCGAAATAAATCCAACAGTAGCGGAGCGTACTGCGGATTTTGTTGTAACCGTACGAGATAATACGCTAATTGATTACGAATTGTACAAATCTTTATCGTTCAAGGTAACAAATATATCTCTATCACGCGTATTATTAAATTCATTAATTAATATAAACTCTTCTGATTCATTTTTCATGGTTCAGATCGTTGCTCAAGAAGTTGGTCCGGCGACAAATCTGTCGGCACTAGCGCCAGTTATTATATTTCTAAGAGACGTCAACGATAATTCACCGATATTCGATGAAGAATCGTACGAAGTGACGTTGTCCGAAAACGTGACCGAAGGTTCGCGCGTGACACAGGTGTGAAATATTTTCGTAACATCGACACATGTGTGCTTCGAACGCACGTGATAATCCGTCCTTTTTTTTTCTTATTAGGTGCACGCAACCGACAAAGACACAGGTATCTACGGAAGTGTTCGATATACCGATATAAGAGGAGAGGGGAGCGAAGCTTTCACCATGGAACCAGACACAGGATTGATAACCGTCGCGATGGGCTCTTCTTTGGATCGAGAAATCGCGGCAAGATTCGTGTTAACCGTGGAAGCACGAGACGAGAATGGGAATGGGAACAGAGGTGTTGTTCCTTTGATAGTTAATTTATTAGACGTCAATGACAATCCACCGATATTCGAAAAGGACGTTTACGAGTTCGCGTTGAACTCTGATCTCACCAACTTTACATTGCCAGCTTTTATAAAGGTATAATTTTTACGATTTTTTTTTTATATATATATTTTTTTATATATTCGAGATTCAAGATTTTTTTTTTTTTTTTTTTAATCGATCGAAATATGAACAGGCTATCGACGCTGATTCAGAGCCGCCCAATAACGTGGTTAGATACGAGATAATCCACGGGAATTACGAGAACAAATTTTATTTAAACGATTCGAGCGGTGAATTGATACTTTTGTCGCCAATTACGAAAATCAGGCGAAAGAAGCAGAGCGCTTATGACAGATTTTCGAAGAAAATGGGAACGAAATTTGTGAAAAATCGGGGAGAAATGGATCACGCGTACGGAAACGAATTATCGATGAATAATCAAAACAGGATGAACTCGGGAAATTTAAGTGGGGAAATGATAATGGAGGTGATAAAGAAGCGACGGAAACGAGCCAACGATGACCCATTGTACACTCTTACTGCCAGGGCATACGATTTAGGTAAATTCTGAAAAAAAATTCTTTCCCCTCTACGAAATAAAATATACGAAAAGTATAATTAATTGGCCACTAATTGAAGGTGTACCGCATCTTTCGAGCGAAACGAAAATTCGAATATTGAATGGCGTCGCTATGGAAGCGCGGATAATGATGTTCGTGGTGCCGGGAGAACAACCAGATTCAACGAAAACTGCCGAGACTTTAGCTGCTATTACAGGTGGCCGAGTCACCGTTTTAGAAACTCGCCCTTATATTCAACAGAATCATACCGGAGGTACAGGGATTCTCGCTGGAGGAGGAGGGAAAAAGTCAGTGAAGATAATCATAATACGTTTATTTGATTATTTAATTCAAGTTGCAAATCGATTTCAAATATAACTTAAAGATATTCTTGTTCAGGAGTATCGTTATAGCTCGAGTTGAACAAACGGAGCCAGGCACATCGTTGGTAGATGTGGAGAAGATTCGAGAAACTTTGGCTGCCAATGGGGTTGGGATTATAGGAGGAACCGATGCGATTATGAATACAACGAACATAGACAATACAAAGGTTCCACTTGACGGAACGCCTAGACATACCACTGCTAACGATGGCCAAACAACTGTTATCAATAACACGATTACCACTGCTCAAAACGAAGAAGTGGTGTGTAATACAAACATATTTATATATATTAAAATCTTGAAATTAAAGTTGAATTAATTGTAATTAAACTTCTATATAGATTTGAGTTGAAAGTATTTTATTTTAAAAAGGTAACTTTTTTTCAGACCGTTTACAAAGCAGAAAACAAATTGTTATTCTGGCTTCTGATAATACTGGGTCTACTCATGCTCTTGGCCGTCGCCATATTGATTGCTTGCTGCATATGTCCCGGATGCCCGTTTTACATGGCGCCCAGGAAAAGGCGAGTACATTCCTCAGAAATGTTGGTCGTACGTGCGGACGGAAGACCGAAGAGGCATCTTCATCGGCAACCGGCAATACCTATCGAAGGTGGTAAACCGTGTTATTCATCTATAATCGTGTTCGTACGTAATTTCAATCGTGCGAATCTTTATTCATATTTCCAGTATCGTGGAATGGAAGGAAACAAGCGTGGAGCGCGGATCCAACAAGAAGGAATTGGCAATTCAACAAAAGAAACGTGAAAAATTGTTCCCTACCTGGGGACGTTGCCTATATTTCCGGGCAACCGAACGATATTCGCATGAGCGTCGAGGCTCAAAGATTGAGAGACGGGGGAGGGGGGCGTTCTTACGATCACTCGAGGAGGAGTAGGATGAACGAGCAAGAAAGAATGTACATGGAGGATATCGAAGATCAAAAGGGAAGAGGTTACCGCACCGCCGAATTGGAATCTTTGCAACGGCACGAGATGGACAGAGGTTCGGATCTGCAACAGCAACATGCTTACAGGCAAAGGTAGGTAAGCGGTCATCCCTCGTCTCACCGTCAAATTCGTTCAACAAATTCGTTCATCCATTCTTTTCAAAGACGATCTAATAAAAAAAATTCAGCGAAGAAAATTAAATGTTAAATTTAAGACATAAGAAATCTCATCGCAGATTACACGTTCCAGATTCGTGGAACACGACACGAACGAAGAAACGGCGGTGAGAGAGCAACACTTTTTCCGCGAGGGAAACGCCGAAGTCCTTCGACTAGTAACGCGAGGACAAGTAGAAGAGAACGCGACGTCCCATCCTCAACCACATCCTCACCGTCCACCAACTTTAATCATAGACGGTAAGGATATAATTCTGCAAAGGTTCATAGAGGACCAGAAGTCAAGGCACGAGTTGTCGATGCAGGACATCGAGGCAGCTCGTAGCATGGAATCTCATCAACGATCGAAAGACGTTTGCAACCAGCAACCGGAGATAATCTTGATACCGGAAAGGTTGGAGCTCGGTCACAGGCAACACGTAGAGGAGATCGGGCCCAACGTTCAGAGGCTCGTGATCGATCACGATCGTGATTACGAGGCTCGAAAGGAGAAGGAGTCTCGTACGATGAGAGAAACGACGAGGCAAGAGGCCGGCTCGATCGTTGAGAGGCCAACGTTGATCGTTGCCAAGGATCAATCGAACAACGCCCAGTATCCCTTCCACGATTTGGAATTGGCAAGGCAAAACGTTTTGCTGACACGATTATTGTTGGAGAAGGAAAATCGAAGAGCGGGTGTGATGGATTCTACCAGCTATCTGGAGACGCAGAGTCTGCCCGGCCAGGTGGCGATAGCCACTCAAACGGATAGAACGGCGGCCACTCAGACGGATCGCCACGTGAAGAGCAGAAGCGACAACGACGAGTCGGAAAACGAGGAGTCCAGATACAGGAAGAGGTTGAGATCTAGGAAGAAATACGGGGGGGACGGGGATTGGAGACGGTCTAGAACCCTGTGGATGAAGTCGCCGATCGAGGAAGAGGGCAGCCCTTGCTTCGATAAACGATTGAGCATCCTGAGGAAGAAAGTGAGAGAGGTGAAGGAAGGGAGGAAGATTTCTCTGGAACCGGAAGTGTTGCGAGAGATCTCGGATTCTTTGGACGGGAACGGAAGCTCGTGCAAAGGCGAGGAAGACGAAACGATGAGGAGTTATAGAAAATCAACGGAGCAAACGAGTATCAGTTACAAAATATTGAACGAAAAGGAGAGCGGATCCTCCGAGGAGAGGAGGAAAGAGAAACGTAGCGAGGAGAAAAGTAGCGAAGAGGTAACGGACGATCGGAGGGTGAACAACGTCACGGAATCGTCCTCGCCAGAGATAAAAGTTCAACGTGAGAAACACGTTGGCCCCAAGGAGAAAAGTCCTAAAAGGGAAACGAGGTCGAAGGCGCAGAAGTCGGAGGGAGTGATAAAGCCAAGTTTCAGGATTCTCGAGAAAGAATTTACGTTGCTCACGAAGAAACTGAGTAAGTTGGGGGACAAGAAATTCCAGGAGAGCAGTGACAGCACCTGTCAAGAAAAGTCTGACTCCAAGGAGGCGAGAAAGGACTCGGATCAAAAGAGTTCGAAAAAAATGGACCCTTCAACCTCGCAGAAGCACGAAACGACGTCAAAACTGGAGCAGAAAGGAAAGCAGAGAAAAGATTCGGCTATAGCTAAGACGAAGCAAAAGTTGAAGTATCAGCAGAGTCAAGTCATGAGTACAGGTAGTTCGGAACTTGACGATTCACTTGGGTTTGACAAACCGAAGAAGCCGACGCGCCATGAGAGCACGAAGCAGAAACAATCTGTTGGTAACCATGGGAAAGTGAAACGATTGGTACAACAGATGGATCGACGAGAATCGAAAAAGCAAGTGTCTGAATCGAAGGATGAGGAAACGGAGAAACGGAAAGATGGATTATCGAAAGGAACTCCGAAAGGTGAATTAAAATCTGAGAAGATTGGAAAGATGGCGGCAAAGGCGCCGAAATTAAGCGTTGTGTCTCGTAAGCAAAACGTGGTCGAGGAAACCAGTACTAGTACGGAAGAGAAAAGGGAAGGGGAAAGGGGTGCGTTCGCTTTCGAGAAAAAGAGCAGTACGGATTTTTCAGAGAAAGATTCGAACGGTTTGTTTCAACCTGAAAGGGAGAGGCTCGAGAAGAAAATAATTCAAAAATTTAGCGATGATTTTGTTGAAAGGTCAAGGGAAGATATCAGTGAACAAAAAGTGACTACTTCCACGGAAGAAGATACAGCAAGCATGGAGGAACGAAAAGTTGGTATGGTCGAATCATCGAAAAATGGGATACGTAGGAGTGAAGATTTATTTGAAAAATCTACGAGAGAACAGGAAGAACGTGTTAGTTCAAAGAAAGCGTTAGATGATTCGGCTCATTTGCATACCAAGGAACAATTAATTACAGATATTAAGTTCATCGATATGGGTCCAATTAAAAAAGAAGAATTAGGTAAAATTGTCGTACGAGATCAGAAGGTTGATAAAATGGCGTCTAAAGTAGAACCTATGAAAATCAAAGAACCAATGAAACGAGAGGATGAGAGTATAAAATATAGTGAAGAAGAGGATAGAATAAAAGAAACTAAACGTGTGGATGAATTAGTAAGTAAAAGTGAGAAAGAAATAATTGAACGGATTCGAGATAAATTGGAGGAGTACATGGAAAGGGATAAACCACTGAATGGTTTTAAAAAACAAATTGAAACTAAACTTGATACTAGACTAGAAGAACCGGAACAAGAAGACAGAGAATTAAGTGACACGTATAAATATTTGAAAGAAGAAATAGAGAAAATGTCAGAAGATTTCAAGAAGAAACGCGACGAGTCCAAGAAAACAGAATCAGAAGAAGAAGAAGAAGAGAATGTATTGTCAAGATGTGAACACGATATAGAGGATAAAAATGGCGCAAGACAGAAGGCAGAAAAAAGGATACAAGTAGAAGTACACATGCCTATAGAAAAAGAGCACAATGGCAAAATGGGCGCAACGCAAGAAATGGAAAAGGACGTAAAATCTCAAGTTTTAAGCAATGAAAAAGATAGTATGAAATTCGATATTACAGATGTACATATACAGGATAAATTAGAGGAAGAAAAACAAGTAAAACTCGTAGATATTTCAAGCACAGATCACATTTTTGAAAAGGAAGATTCGACAAAAATTGCATTCAATGGTGGTGATAAAGAAAAAATTAGTTTAAGTATGGAGATTCCTCATAAAGAAGAAACTACATCAATGATAGAAACTGATAAACAAATAGAAGAAAGTATTTTTTTAGATGATCGAGAAATAGATGATAAAGAAAAAGAAGATATTAAAATTAAGCCTGATAATCGAGTCATGGAAAGTATTATTACAAGTAGCGAAGAGAAGAAAATTAGCGACGAAGAAAAATTTATTGTAAAAAGTATAGGAGAAGATTATGAAAAAACGATGGAAGACTATAAAATTACTGAAGAAATAAGTCAGGATAAAAAAATTACTGAAGAAATTAAAGATCAAAAATTTGATGCAGAAACAATCGTGGATTATGAAGTAACTGAAGAAACGGTAAAGGATCAAAAAATTGATAAGGAAGAGACGAAGGATCATAAATTCGAAGGAGAAACAAGTATGGACCATAAAATTATTGTAAAAGAAACCAAGGATTCAAAAATTGATGAAAAACAAGCAATTTCGGATCGCGCGTTAACTATGGAAAAAATTAAAGATCAAGAAGAGGATTATAAAATCGTCGAAGAAGAAAGTATGGATCACAAAATAACTGAAGAAAGAACTAAGGATGAAATAATCGATAAAGAATCAATAGAAAAACATAAAATTCCTGAAGAAGCAATTGTAAAAATTATTGAAGAAATACCAAAAGATCAAAAAATTAAAGATGATACAATGGAGGATGACGGCATTTCTGAAAAAATAACTGTGAGTCGTATTGAACAAACATCTAAGGATGAAGAGGTTAAAAAAATTTCAGAGGATTATGGAATTGCTGAAAAAGCAACTGAGGATTTTAAAATAACTGAGGAAGTAACTACAGATCATAAAATGGAAGAAAAAGTAACGGAGGATTACACAATAGTTGGAGAAAGATTTGACGATGATAAATCTCTGATAAAAACTGACTTTACTACTAAGGAAGAAATATCTGATAAAAAACAAGATTCAACAGAAATTGATAATAATAAAATTAGCAAGGAAGAAAGTATTTTCTTAGATAAAAAAAAGGATTCTGATGAAAAGACATTTGCTAAAAAAATTGATACAGATGATCACGAAACCAGTACAAAGAAGGTTTTGGATACTGAAGAAGAAATTGACAGTCAAAAAAAAAAAAGTATTTCTCCTGAAATAAAAGAAATTCTTCCTGTAGTAGAAGTTGTGACAGAACTAATTAAAAGTGACGATGAAAAAATTAGTGATAAAGAAGATATTTTTATTGGCAAAGAAAAAGAACTAGCTATTGAAGAAAAAAAAGAAATTCCAAAAACTGATAAAATTGAAAAAGAAAGTATTACCGATGATAAAGACAAGGAAGAAGATTCTAAAAAAAAAAAAAAAATAATTACAAAAAGTACTGAAGAAACTGATGGACGATCATTTAAAGAAACAATTAAAGAAATGCAAATAATAGACGATCACAAAATTATCGAAAAAGAAATTTTAGAAACAAAAGAAATCATCGATGATCATCAAATTAGTGACAAAGAAATTGTTCCAGCAACATTAGAAATTGAAGAAATACCTATTGCTGAAAAACAGGATGATATCCAAGAACATCGCATTGAAAAAGAAGATGTACCTCCGAGAATATCTCACGTTGATAAAGATGACGAGATCAAAGAAAAAGAAGATTCGTCAAAAATTTCAACTCAGGAAATTTCAATGGAAGTTTCTATCGTCCCTTCAATCGACGATAATGCAAAACAAGAAACATCAACAGACACAGAATCAACCGAAGATCACGCCAGTAAAAAGGATAGTGTTTTCTCAGAAATGTTTAAAGCTGTCCATTCGTTAGTCGATAAATTGACGAACGGCAAAAGATCAAGAAAGACGAGTGTAGAAGAGGTTGCAATCACTGAACTTTCAGATGATAAAATTATCCAGAAAGAAGTGGCACATCCTGATGATGACAAGGAGAAATGTCAAGAAGATAGTTCGATTACCAGCGAGCCATCCGCTTCTCGAGTAAGTAGTGATTCGATAAAATTAATGGAAGAGCAAATGGACGATAAGAAAATTACATCAAAAGATAAACCTCTCGATTCCACGGATGACAAAATAGCTATCAGTCCAGAGGAAACGACAGGCGAGAGTATGCAAATCGATATCGTGTCAGAATCGAAGAAAACAGAATCCGATGAACAGTTTGGGATAGACAAAGATGAAACGATAAAATTAATATTAGAAAAACCTCTCTTAGAAAAAGTAGAAATTGATAAACCTTTGAAATACGATCCAGCATCGTTGATACAACCGGCGGACGAAAAACTAAAGGATGGAAAGGACACCAGCGAAATATCATCGAAGAAAACAATCGAGATAAGCGAGGAATCGAAAGAAGCGATCCCAGATAACGAAAGGATGGATGTGAAACCGTTACGAATCACCGAGGAGGAGTTGTTGCGCGTACCAACGTCAAGCAAAGCGAGCACTAGTTTTCAGGAGATCGAATCGCTTCGAAGTTCTTCTCAGACGACTACACAGGAGAAGGAAAAGTTAGTCTCTGACTCCATTATATCCGAAACTTCAACAGATTCCGCGAAAACATTGGAATTTGAAAAGCAATTGAAGTCAGCAGAAAGCAAACAGATTGAATTACAAGAAATGGAAGAATTTGTCGAGGGAGAAAGTTTCATTGTGAGAGCATCGTCTCCTGAGGGACAATCGCGGAGCACAGAATCTGATGTACACACGATTGTTTACAGGGACGAATCGGATAAGCGAGAAGATCGAACTAAGGGGGAAATGGATAAAACTTTGAGGAAGCATATAGAGGAAGAGGGGATACCTGTTGAAGAGGAATACGTAAGCCTTCCACTTTTTACAAGCATAATAGATACGATGGATGATTCCGAGGACAGTGATTCATCGAGCGATATTTCCAGGAAGACAACGTTAACCACCAGACCGTATCAAACCCCGCGAAATCGTGCTCGACAGGTTTCCGAGAGAGAGAGTAGCCAAACGGAGGAAGTGGCTGAAAGTGTCGGGGATGAGGAACAAGCGATATTAGCTGTCGAGGTGATAGGAAATGGGAACGTGGACTCGCCGAAAGAGGAAAGGATGCTTGAAAAAGTTGAAGACGCGGAACAAGCTCCTTTGACGAGATCAACCGAGGCGGTGAAAGGTGAAGAAACTGGATCGAGGGAAGAATTTATAAATGTACAACCGCGTTTCAGTGGAGAAAAATTAAGGGCAACGAGCGATACGGAAATAGACAAAGAGTCTTCGACGAAACATACGAAAGATACAAAATCTGAAACGAAACATGGAAAGGATGGAAAGATTAATAGAGAAGACGAACCGTCATCGGCCTCCAAACTTGCAAAAACTGATACTTTCAAAGTTGCCGATAAAAAGGCGAAGGAACAAGAGAGGAAAAAAATACCCCCGCAAAGGAAGAAAAAAAGTTGTTCCGAGGAATCTCCGGACGAAGAGAAGACAACAACGCATTCTCACGATGCAGCGAGTCACGGTGGGTATCGCGCACGCGGGAAGCCCTTGGAAGATCGATCGAGGCAAAAAGATAGGGATAAAACGAAACAAGGGAGAAGAAGGGAAGAATCAGAAAAGCAAAAACAATTTGCATCGAGATCGAAGATCGACAAAGATAAGAAATCATCGAGCGGTAGCGAGAAATATCCAACCCCGTCGAGAAGCGGGGAGATCGACACGAGTAAAACGCAGCCGAAATACATGGCGTGGTACAAAAAGAACCGAGAGGAAATGGAAAAGAGGAGAGCCGAATTAATGGCGACGGATGACGAGGAGCAGCTTCCACGATGGTTACGAAGAAGCATGAGAAGCCAGAGAGCCGAGAAGGAAGATAAAAAGCAGCAGTCGAGTCAGAAAACCGCTGACACGACACCGCGGACGAGGCGCAAAGTTAAACCTTTGGTAAACGTCGAATCCGAACAATTGAAGGCCATTGTTCGTCAAGGTAGAAAATTAAGGAGAGCCGAAGGAGGGAGGAACGAAGATCCACCGATACAGATATTCGCCACGACTCCGCCCCACGATCCCAAGCATCATTTGGTGCAACATTCTGAATATAAATACGAGAAAGCGCCCGCGCCGTTTTACCTTCATCCCCCTCCTCCCCCTCACCCTTCGCCCCAACTGTCGCCAGAACATTTCGAAATTCCGCCAACGATGGAATGCGGACGCACGGATGAAGAATTCGATTCCGGGATAGCGGTGTCGTTACAGGCTGGAAACAGGCGACACCAACAATTATTGGAAAAGAAGAGTGTGTTCGATATCGCGTATAGCGAAGCGGCACCCTCTCAATTACGTTCAGACAGTACCACACCTCCGTCCTAAGGTAGTGTAATAATGTTAGAATCGTTTTGTTTCGTGGAAGAATCTCCGTTGTTCAATTCTTTTAATTACAGAGGACGTATATATTGTTGAATATCTTTTTATGTTTTATATAACGATGAATTAATGAGTTGGAAATGCGAATGTGCTGAATGATATCCTCGATCCATGAATTTTTAAATGTTACGTTTTTTAAAAGAGAAACACAAACAGGTTAAATTAAAGAGAAGAACTAAATTACGCACAAAATGCAGGGTTAATTATAAAGTAGAATTTCAGAAATTGTTATAGAAAAAAATTATAGGGATGCCACGTTTTAGGATTTGTTAGAAAATGAGAATGAATAACTTTCTTATGAAATCGTTTCAGAAATAAATATCATTCGTATAATTCATTAGTTTAAAAAGCATTTTGTTAATGTTATTTATTGCCGTCCGAAAAAAAAAAAATAGCACATCGATTCGATGACCAATTTTATATTACGATTGTTATCCCAATATTCCAATGTTTATAATTATCTTGTAAATAAATACGTATACATAAAATGTGTTATTTTTATTCGTATATTTCATTCAATGTACGATTCCTTTATCAAAAAAAAATACTAAGTTTATAAAAAATTATTTACTTTTTAAATTTTATTAAAAATTAAGTTCAAACTAACTGCTCGAATATTAATATTCATTTATCTTAATATTTTTGTTTATTATTCAAACTATATATAAATTTATCTTTCAATTTACGTAATAAGTTTTAACATTCTACAATTAAAAATAAATAATAATTATATCATGTTTATGACAACAGATTCGAGACTAACTTCTTATCGTTCCTGTTATACTGTTATAAAAATATCCTTGATTCCGACTTTACTGCTGGTCAAGTTTATCCGTACACGATATGCATCAGATATGAAAGATAATAATTTATCATCATTTAAATTACGTGTAATAAAATAAATAATTTCTGTTATTTTTTAATTTAATATTATTAATTATAAATTTATTATTTCGTTTATTTTAGAAAAATAATTGGAAATATTTTATACAAAAATATTATTAACCCATATCATGCATGAAAAGCTATAAATAAATTCTACTTTATAGACGGAAGAATATCAATAAAAATAATTTATTTCTATCTTCATTATCATGTCATTCGTTTTCAAATAATTATAAAATTAAATTTTATAAAATAAAATTTTATTTCTACGTATTCTTATTTTAAAATAATAAATAAAATAAAATATAAATTTATATCACTAGAGTAAATGAGAGACATTTTGAGCAACTATGGAGAAAGATCTAAGTATATATATTATACATACGTATGAACAGAGAACGCTAAGAATATATGCTGTGATCGACTGTGATGATAAAGCGCGTGAGTGACGCCACAATGGCAATATACGCAACACAGTATGCAATTTGTCAAACTAATATACATAATTGCTGATTTCGTGACGTGTTTTGACGAAAAATGTGACGTATCTGATGCAACTAACCTACGGTAATCGAGAAAATAATGGTGCATCAGACATAACCGGAGACTGGTAAATTTTAGGATTGGGAAAGTAGAAAAGATGTGTTGGTCGATCGACCGGTGCATAATAAATACTTTCGCAAGCGGCAACATATGACAAAAACGATTTCAATAGAATAGGTAAGTACGTTTTTAATAGAATTTAAAAAGAGAATAAAAAAAAAAAATTAAAAATAATTTTAATTTCAAAGTTATAAAAATATATTAATTTAAAATATTATATTTACTTAATAAAGATTTTGTAGAAAATATTTTATTTTTGATTCAATATTGAAAATATTTCTTGTATAAAATAAAAAATAACATGTTTTATGTTTAATGATATGAAAAATAATAAATAATAAAATTATAAAAATAATCTTTTAAAAACAATTCATTTTTCATCCGATATCAATATTATTCATTTGCATACATGTGTAACTTAACTAGAAAATAGAAAAATACTAGGTATAATGGATGTTCTCCTATTATCTAGAAACCATAGTAAGCCAGCTGCTTGTATTATCTATAATAACTTCATTTAAACGAATAAGTAACAATTGCGAAGAATTTTTATAAAAAGAAAATCAGAGAAAATTAAAACTACAAATAATGTATAATTTAATAAATGATTCAGTTCAATAAATCCAGATATTTTTATATCCCATTTTTAAAACATTAAATATTCTGAAATTGCAAAAATTTAAAATGTTATTTATGTTACAAATTAAATAAATATAACAATAAATAAACTATTATTACAACCTTAATTAATAACGAAACACCAAATTGTTCCAATATTACTCAAGGAAGGAATAAAATTATTTTATATTCATACTGATAATAAAATTTATATTTTATAATATCAATAAATAAATTTAAAATATTATAATACATTAATTACGCGAAATTATATAATAATATATAAATAAATTAATTCTCTAATAAATTATCTCTCACTGCATGCATATGAAATAAATTTATAAAATAATTTATGATTTAACAACATGTAAAATAATAAAGAACGCGAAAATAGCGTGCATGTAACAGGGTCTATACAGCATTTACAACGTGATCTACTTCATTTTGCAACTTACATTTCGTTGAAAATTTAACAACAATAAATAATCACTGATTTAGGCCTACTGTTTTCAGAGGCCTCCTCGATATAACATCGCTATGCTCTCCCTAATATCATCCGAGTTGGAGCCGAATTAATATATCAATTAGGGCAGAAAGTAGCAGCCTTTAAACAATGGATAAATGTTAATTGTTGTTAATAAAGAACACACATGTTGCTGATGCAACGGCGAACAGAGCCGTAGAAGAGGCTGCACCTGTAACACCAGTACACGAAACGCAAACACACCTGGAACCTTTGACCTTTTCATCGACGCTCGGCCCTACCCCTCTCCCCTCGACCACCCTTACCCTTTCCCTTCGCTAGCTGCAGTTCGATGAAAATGTTGCACTGTGCGCGATGGTCGATCGTACAAATCAGGTTTTACCTCTTACACCCTTGGAAAGAAGAGAAAGAAGAGAAAGAAGAACTAGGAAATCGAGAAAGTTAGTCTTGCAACCCTAATTTCGTTGGTCGTTGGTTCGTTCGATTCGATCTTTTCTACTTTTTCTAAGGGATGCAATTCCTTCAAGGAACGTTATTATAAATTGGGAAAAATTAAAAATAAATTTTTTATTCGAATCATCTCCTTAACTAATGATATGAATATTTTGTTGGCAAAAGCATAATTTTTCCAAATATAATGAAAAATTTAAAAAAATATATATATATTTTTTTTTAAGAAAACATAAAAAAAAAAAGATATAAAAAATTTGTGAAGATTCTCCAATTATTAAAATTGTTATTCAAATTGATTATTCTACTCTGCAAAACAATCACTGCAAAAAAGATCTATTTAATCTAATCTTCCTCTATGATATATTATAACAATAAAATATAAAAATAAAATGCATAGAATTACAAAAATTACAGATAATGTATAGAAATATCTAACTTTTGTATTAAATTTTGCGATAAAAAATTAACGTTCCTAGTAGGAAAAAAAAAAAAATCAGAATTCCGATAACCCAAGGATCCAAGAGCACTAGAGACACCTTTGCTCTCATAGCACATACATAGCACGCATACATGAAAATCAAGCTGATGCTAAAGAAGACACGTTGCACGAATATGTTGGCATCGTGCTACGGGCGGGTCGAGATTGGCCCGGACATCAATAGCCATCAATCATCTGAAAATTTCGGCAACGCGGTGGACAACACGAGCGGCAGGATACCATCATCATAGTAGAGTTCTTCGGGACCACAAAACGGGGATAAGAGGAGGTGAGAGGCAAAGGAGGAGGGACCAGGCGAAACGTTCGATACCACCGAAAACGTGGGCCAACTTCATGTTGTACCTTCATGAATTTGGTTACTGACGTCTATAATGCTTCGTGTAGTATACTATGCTGTGATATCTGGACTCATAGGTATGCGTGAACGTATGATAAACGTAGAAATGGATGGACACGAAAGTGCGTGAGGAATGAAAAAGGAAAAGAAAATATGTTCTTAAACGTAAAAGAGAAACGAATAATAATAATGTCTGTATTAAAAATGCAACATAATTTATAAAATGTAAAATATCTTTATCATATTAGTAAATTAAAAAAAAAAAAATCATTTAAAATTTGTTTTCCTTAAAATATATATGTATATTTCTCGATCAGATATTTCTTTAATAAAACAATTGTGTATTTATACACAAAATAGACATACTAAAATAGACAGATTAATAAACAAATATAAAAATATACATCTATAAGTATTTATAAGTATTTAATCATTCGTTTCGTACAATAATTTTTTCTTATAATGAACAAACAAATACGTGATGTATTTTAGAATTTTTACTAATAAATATTTTGATCTTTTTAAGACAAGATAATTAAATAAATTTATTCGTTATATATTCAAAGAAAAATGTAAGAATAAAAATGTAAAAACTTAAAAATGGAAAATATTTAATATCTCACTAGATGAACAATACACGTAATAAAAAAAAATTTACTTTTATTTTATCAATGAGTTTGATAATTAATAAAAAATGAAATAAATATTGTAAAATAAATTAAATTTAAAGAGAATATTAGATGTATTTATAACGTAAGTGCCGCCATTGATACGCATTTCAATAGTTCAAGAACAAAGATCTACTCGCATTCATGATATCCTCGTACAAGAGCAAGTGTCCGCAGATGACTCGCGCAGTTGGCGCGCATGTGAACACGAATTACATTACATGCGAAGATAACATGACAACATTTAATATGGATGCGCCATTTTTACGCTAGTAATACTGCTATATATTAAAATGAACAATGAACGAATATATTTGGATAATTGGATAACAAATAATGAAGAAAAATATTTGTTAAAATATTTATTTATATATTAACCTTGTTCTTTTTTTTTTATTT